CCCCCCCCCCCCCCCCCCCCCCCCCCCCCCCTACCTCCCAAAAAGCAAAAAGAGGTCCTTATGGTCCTTTGGCTGCGTGCGTAATAGTCCATGTCCACTCTGGGGAGCACAAGTCCGTTTCTTCTTTTTCTTTTTTTTTTCCCTGAAAAAGGAGGTCCTTATGGTCCCGGACCTGTAATTGCCCGTACCCATTCTGGGGAGCATCGGCCGGTCTTTTTTCTTTTTTTCCTTTTTTTTTCTTCAGAGAAAGGCTAATTCTTTTGAGCCAGACTATTTCAATCACCTGTCGCATGTGACAGGGAGGTCTTTCAGGTCTTTTCATATTAGCACAGTAGAATTACGAGGAGCCCATAGCAGCCAGCCCGTGTTCAAGCGTCGAGCGAGGGAACATGTGGGGACTCCACCTGACCTGCAGGTGGCCGATACCAACCAGGGATCAGCTGGTAGCATCAGGACCGATTTTCTTCAATGGGCCAGTCGCCTAGCCTCCCCTCCGGTCCCCTTCCCGTACAAAAATCAGAATTGTCTGCCCAGTGCGGAGTGGGGGGACCAGCGGGCTGTCTGTAGGTGGGGCACACCAAGCATGCCCAGGAAGGTACATGAGACAAGTGAGGATTGAACCCATGGCCTCCGGAATGCCACTTCCGTGCCTTACCAACTGAGCCAGGCCGCTGGATCCTTTTCCACCAGCGAAGTCATCAAGGAAGGTACATGAGGCCAATGAGGATTGAACCCATGACCTTCTGAATGCCCACTTCCATGCCTCGGCAACTGAACTAAGCGGCTGGATCCTTTTTCCACCAGCAAAGCCATCGAGGAAGGTACGTGAGGCCAGTGGGGATTGAACCCATGGCCTTCTGAATGCCCACTTCTGCGCCTTGTCAACTGAGCACAGGGGCTGGATGCTTTGCCACCAGCAAAGCCATCGAGGAAGGTACGTGAAGCCAGCGGGGATTGAGCCTGTGACCTCCTGAATGCCACTTGCATGCCTTACGGCTCTTACCAACTGACCCAGGCCAGTGGATCCCTTCTTTTAGCCGCAAAGTCGTCAAGGTGCAGCAACACCCGCGCTGCCTTCCATTTGGCCGACGGAATCCTGATCGGCATCGGTTGTGCCACTCGCATGGAGGCTCGACCGTCCAGCTTGCCATTGGGGATTGAGCCCATGACCTCCTAGATGCCACTTCCATGCCTTACGGTCCTTAGCAACTGACCCAGGCCAGTGGATCCTTTCTTTTAGCAAAGTCGTCAAGGTGCAACAACACCCGCGCTGCCTTCCATTTGGCCGATGGAATCCTGATCGGCATCGATTGCGCCGCTCGCATGGAGGCTTGACCGTCCAGCTCAGACCACCAGATCATTTCTGGACAATCTGGTGTACCCAAGATAAATTCTGGACAATGTGGTGTACCCAAGATAAATTCTGGACAATGTGGTGTACCCAAGATAAATTCTGGACAATGTGGTGTACCCAAGTCCCTCCTTATGTGACCACTGAGTGATGTTTTAAAAGATATGTTGCACCCAACTCCCTCTTATGCGGTTGTTTGGTCTGTCGAACAAAGTAAGCCTAGGCCACTCCTTGACTTCCACAGCCAAGCAACAAAAACTGTTCCGTCGAAACCCTTCCAGCTTTGGCGGGTTTAATTTTGACAGGCTCGCCAGATCACAAAGCGGTTGAGGACACTGTGAGAACGGGAAAGCTTGCATGGGGAGTTTAGACGCACGACGAAATAAGGAATTTTCCCCTGTGGTCAGTGGGGCCATTTTCAACCAGAAGTATGAGGGCCAGCCAATTTTCTGCAACGCACTGGCAGGTGTGAGCATGACGAATGCTTCCTTTTTGGCGGGATGCACCACCCGGGACGCTTCTCCCCCTAAAAAACAAACATGCTGTCAAAGCAACAGTCACATCATGGACCCATTTTTCGCCTGGAAGCTTTTGAAGCAACACGCGGCAGTCGGATGCATCCTTTGAGACGCAGTGCCTTGACGGGGGGGCGT